TCTCATCTTTTTAAGTGGGAGAACTTGCACAGTTGGTGGCTGACTAAATACTTTTTTGCCCTACTGTATACATTTGTTTCCTGATTTGGCCAAGCAATGCTGTTTTAGTCAAGTCCCAGTGGCTGGAGACTGTAAGGGTTCGGATGGGGAGGAACAATCTCAAACTCAACCCTAGTAAGACTGAATGGTGGTATATGTTTGAGCCTTCTGGTGTCAGTTTCAACCTATTTCATGGCAAACTGGGATTTTTTGGGAAAAAGTGGAAGGGTACCAATACTTTTGATTGCATCTATACATATACTGTGGAATCCCTGCTCAATCAGCGGTGAGGTAACAAAAACAAAACATGTCATATATTTCAAAGAAGATTCTTAGTGAGGTTCTTAGATTTAATTTGACCCAATATAAAGATGAGAGCACAATGCTTTTCTGAAAGTGCAAGCAAAGAAACACAAAAAATCTGAAACTACACAGCACGTACCAGTGATACCTAGGAACAGCAAGACCATAATCCAATATATCCAGAAGAGGATGAGGGCAAAAAAAGTCCAAAATGGCTGGAAGACAAGCAGTGGCAGGTGAATGAAAACCTTGCCAGCCACGTGGAACAAGGCAATGGTGAGAGCTACTCTTTTGCGCATAACTAACATTATTAATAGTAAGATAACCTGAAAAAGGAAAGAAATTCCATAATAAACTTTAGGTGAATTGTATCTATTGAAATAAGGTAAAAACATGCCTCCTATTCAGAACCCCAAAATATTTGTATTTAATTACATCATTAGAAATGCCAACACAAAATATATGAAGTAATCTTAACTCCAATAGCCACCTACTAATAACAGTGGGTTTCAGGGCATTTTCACATATTACTCTAAGGAAATAAAGGTGAAAGAAAACTGCAGCCAGTCCTGGCTTGGATTACATGACTAGGTATAGCACGTTTATTCTATTCACACATTATATTTTAGATAGACACCTAAAAAACACATAACTCGGCCTTCTGACTCGGCCTTCAGAATGATCACAGCTTAGGCAGAATATTGCCTTCTCTTTTAGACTGAAACTCAAAAACATAATTGAAAACTGTGTGGATCAGCAGTGCTGACAACTAGGTCTCCATGAAATTTAAACTTTGATAATGAACTATTTCAGAGCCAGTGTAATGTAGTGGTTAAGATGTTGGACTAGAAAGTAGGAGACCCAGGTTCTAGTCTACTGTCTGCCATGGAAGCTCACCAGGTGACTTTGGGCCATTCACTTTGCCTCACGTGGTTGTTGTGTGGAAAACAGAAGAACGGAGCACTGTGTATGCCACCTTGTGCTCTTGTACAAAAGGCAGGATATAAATCTAATACTAAGTAAACCATATTACATAGCATTTCTTCACTCATCTCAAAACTAGTTCTGCCATTCTTGAAAGCGTAAAACTCCAATATTATTTTTATTCTCCTTCCCCTTCAATCAAATAAGATACTGTAATGGTATGTGAGAAAGACCTTGAGAAACAGGGCGAAGAGATACTGCCTAGGGAATGATCTGATAAGAGAGGGCATAGCCCGCAGCTACATAATGGGTAGAGAAAGAGGCTCAGAAGGGATCCTCCCTAACTTCTCAGGCTGTAATGGAGATGGCGGGAGATTTGTACTTTCAGACTTGCAAGATTCTGTTAATGTAACCTTACAATAAAGTAGTATTAGCTCATCTGGCCGTGTTTCCTGTCTGGTCTACCTGGGAAGGCTGACAGATACTGAGAAAATTAACAGCATGATTACAAAATTAACAGCATGATAACATAACTATACATACACTCCTGAACTTGTCACTACCTACCCAAGTACAGGTAGTCCTCAGTTAATAACCATTCATTCAGCAACCAATTGAAGTTATGACAGCACCGAATGAGGAGACTTACGGCTGGTCCTCGAAGTTGTGGCCGTCATAGCGTCCCCACAGTCACGTGATCACAATTCAGGCACTTGGCAACCAGCTCACAATTACGATGGTCTCAGTGTCCCCTGGTCATGTGGTCACCATTTGTGACCTTCACTGCCCACTTCCAACAAGCCAAGTCGGCAGGGAAGCTGGCAAGAGGTCACAACTGGTGACTGCATGACATCGCACCTAATGACCATGTAGGATTTGCCTAACAATTGCAACTGGAACTGCTGGAATGCCATCTTAAGTCAGCACAGTCACGTGACATCACACTTTACGACTGCATTTCTTAGCAATAAAGTTTCCAGTCCCAACTACCATTGTTAACCAAGGACTACCTGTACTTAGTCTTTCATATGAGAGAATAAGAAGCCAGCCTTGACTTTTTTCTTCCACTATGTAGAGCCTATGATATAAAATGTGGCATCTTATTTCTAGATTATACATGACCAGCATACTGCATGTCCATCTATCAGAAGGCTTTCTTTTGCAACTCTTTCTCTCTGTGCTTACACATAATAATAAAATCAACCCCAAAGGTGTATATTTGGTTGTCTACTTTCCCTTATAAGAGAGCCAGTTTGGTGTGATGATTAAACCATCAGGGTAGAAACCAGAAGACCATGAATTCTAGTCCCATCTTAGGCACAAAGCCAGCTGGGTAACCTTAGGCCAGTCGTGCGCTCTCAGCCCTAGGAAGCAGGCCATGGCAAATTACTTCCAAAAAAACCTTGCCAAGAAAATTGCAGGGACTTGTCCAGGCAATTGCCAGGAATCAAGACTGAACTGAAGGCACAAATTTAAACTTCACTTTCCCTTGCATATGCCTCCTTCATGTGCAAAGACATCCTAATTTGACAGACATCAAGTACTCACTGTGAAGATGGTAGCTGCAATGGCATAGATCAGGAGGGCCTGACGATTGTCTTTGGCTATCTGAAGCTGTTCAACAGTAAGAGTGACACTGGGAGTCTTCCACATTTTAACATACAGCCACCACAATACTCCTGTGCCACCTGTGCCCACATAGGAAAAAAAAATACAGTGCATGCCATTTTCAGAAAAGAATATATATATATTTTTAATATGTACGCAAATAGTTTGGACAGTTTCATTTTCTATCACTCTAGGCCAGATTGAAATACATCCAGGGTTAACTTTAACATTAAATATGGGGACAGAATGGTACTCTGATTTCCCAACAGACAACTGATTAGAAAGATTTTGGCTTTACAAAGCATATCTTTCTGTTCCATAATTAGAAGAAATTGAGGATTTCTACGCCAGAAGTGTCACGGCCAACTTGACTCAGAGACTCTAATACCGAGGAGCCTGCTCTGGATGCACCAGGTGAGTGTCTCCTTGCGACCAAGCAATTAAGCACCCGAGACTGCCTCTGCAGTCATCCAGAGTAGTTGCCCTTGGAGTCAGATGATGAAGAACTTGATCCTGGGCAACTGCCCAGTCCCTGGATGTGCTGCTCTAGGTGCTGAGCAGACCAAAGGTACTCTACATGCCTTCTCACTGGGCAAGAGTGTTCTCATCCTTCCACCCAGAAGAGGCTCTAGATAAAAGCCACTGTTATGTGGCAAGAATCTATTGGGAACAACCGTTCTTATCTGGATTTCACATGCTTGAACCTTTCGCCTCCTGAAACTCTGAACCTGGACCAGCTGATGACCTACCCTTTGGACACCTAGATCCTTGGACTGGGATCTGACAACACTTCTGCTCATGCTTTGGATTCACTTGCAGACAAGCTCATGTGCATTTGGAACTTGCTGAGATGTGCCTGCGACTACACACACGCTCTGCTTGCTGAGCCTGAAATAAAACTTCAAAACCTAGTCTCTGTTTATGGGTAGGCTTGGTCTGGAATTGGACAAGAAGAGATGGTTTTATAACGAAGGAACAACTCAGATAAAACTGCCAATAGACTGGACTATGCTGATTTACAACTTTGTCATCTCTTTCTTTTCTTTGAGATGAGAAAATAAGGCCTTGTTCCACTTTTTTCACTGGTTATAACTGAGACTTTCAACTGTGACCAACATAGGACCCTTTTTATTTTCCCATCATCCACCAAATACATATTTTGCCAGTAACTGAACTGTTACATTCTCTATGGGATATACAATTTTGGTTGAAGTAATAACTTGACAGGTGCTAGTTTTCATCTTAAGGAAGACAGGAGCATCTTAATTTTTTAAAACAATTTTTTGCTATTATTTTTACAGATTTTTATAAAAGCTGCTTTGAGTACATTCTACACACTGAAAAATCTCAAAAATTGTATAAATACCATTTTCTTGTATCCCAACTCAGTATCAGACAGCCAGTTTGGTGTATTGGTGAAGGTGCTGGCCTAGAACCCAGGAGACCATGAGTTCTAGACCCATCTTAGGCATGAAAGCCAACTGGGTGACTTTAGGCCAGTCATGCTCTCAGCCCAACCCACCTCAAAGGGTTGATGTTGTGGAGAAAACAGGAGGTGTGAGTATTAGGTATGTTCACCCCCTTGAGTTATATATATAAAAGGTGGGATAAAAATATCATCATCATCATCATCATCATCGACTGCTAATCTTCTGCCTTTTATTATTTCGAATTAGAATTTTTTTTAAAATTTTAGAAATACTACCTTTATTTCATTAAACATTTTTAAAGCAGTACCTCATGCAAAAAGTGTGTCAATTAAATCAGACTACAGTAAGCCTACATGACTTTTAAAATTTTCTAGTTTTGCAGCTTATATCACTACATATGCCTTACCATTTTCCTCACTTTTGTACTTTTATATTCCATGAAGTGTAACTCCCTGAATTCATCAATGTGAAGTCATTCTGCAATATAAATATTACATTCTGCAGGGTAAACATTGCCACTACTTTAATATTTTCTTCTGATTTCTAATAATTGGCAATATCTTCATTCTGTCTAATAAACCTTATGTAAACTTTGATGATGACCAAATTGATATTGATGTTTTGTGACTTGCCATTCCCACCATGGCAATCATTTTTTGATTAGACAAACTTCCCTCATGGCAGCTTTTTGTGAGAGCATTCCCAACATGCTTTCAAAACCTCAAATGTCTTCACCAACCTGAAAAGGCTTCCTATCTCTGAGATAGTCTTAATTACATGTACACAAATCATTTGGATAGATGATTTCCCAGCACAGACTGCATGTCCTTTTTGGAGCACAAAGAACCATTAAACACCATGTTGGCAACAATAGCAATTAGAGCTAATCAAACTTTCTTCAACAAGGACTGGAAAGAGAGTCAAATGCATGATTGAAATCTTAAATTAGGTATCAAACTTTACTAAGTAACTTTAGGATCCAAGTAATGTTTAGCTGTTGTTAAAGCAAGTGGTAGGCAGTCTATGATTTGCAGTCCATATCTTCTAACTTCCTTAATTCTGGGTAAATAATCTGGAGTGCTACATATATACTGTACCTTCTTTAAAAAGGAGGAGAAATCAGTAGTTACTAACTCTTCATGTGATCCTTTGCATTACTCTTGCTTGTTACTGCGTCCCCCCACCCCCCAAATTTCACTCATCATAGGAAATCACTTGTCACTGACTAGGCTGTACTGAGTATCTGAAAGCAGTCAAAAAAGATAATACTTTATTCAAGAAGCCATAATACATGTGAACATTCATCACAGCAAAGGAATTCAATCATTATTTTTCTTCTGTGCAAATTGTAAACCAGTAGATATGAAGACAATGCTGATTTGAGAATATTGCTTGTTTTCCCATAGGTTTTGAGATCATTTTCAGTGCTAATAGTAAGAAAATTCAAGCACTAGAATGGATAAGGGGGGAGATGGGCGGGGACAAGTCTGCTAAAATAAACAAACAAACAAACAAACAAACAAATAAATAAAGCAGTGTGCTTATGGGTCTTTGGAAAATATCTGTCTGGCACAGCTGGAACCAGGATCCCAAACTAAACAGACTCTTGCTCTGATCTGGAAGGACTTTGCTTGCTTCCTCTGAAAACTAGGGAATTTTATGTTTTCAACAGATGGGCTAGTTGGATCATGTGCAACAGCTATAAAAAACTGCCAATTTACTGAGCAGTGAAATGTCAGCCCATAAATGCTCTAATCTAGAATCTGGTTTGATACACAATAAATTTTTTGGGGTTACCACTTTTTAAACATTTTATTTCTAATTGTCAACAAGGAAATCGGCTCTGTAATATTTAGGAAAATTAGAACAACATATTGAAAGGTCGTTATAGTCTCCATAAGGACAGGATTTTAGTTTTAAAGTCTCAGAGATGAGAAGAATACATCACAAACATGATTAGAACAGAACTCAAATGTTTATCCTGATTTTAACTGGAAGCCCAGGTATCTCTAAATGTATCAGAGAGATATAATAAAATAAGATAGTGATAATTATGCATGGTCTAATGAAGAACAAATCTTGTTACAGTTTCTAAATAGAAAGCCATTCTAGGGATACCCATTCACTTCTATCACTGCTCTCTGGGCATTAATCATGTCTAAACAATTACGTATGCACTGCTGTCAAACATGGAAATAACCATGGTTTTCTTTTAAACCACAATGTGAAATCCATCAGACATGAAAGAAACATAAATAAAATACTGTTTGCAATTTTGGGTATCAATTACTGTTTTTTTCTATCAATTGTCACTGCTTATTTTGCATACACGTATTAAAGCTTTAATATAATCTTTAATCTAGGTTTGGCCTGAATTCATTGTTTTCTCCCCCCTCCTTCCCTTTTAAATGTATGGAATCTGTCTTCCAGATCTTCCAGCTAAGGACAGTTTTTTATAGATCTGATGACATGGGTCCTCATTCCTGGATATGTAAACTGTAAATACCAACAAATGTATTTTGGTACTAGAAAAATCTTTTTTTCCCTTGCAATATGCATACTTCCACATGACACACAGCATATGTGTAAGCAAAGTACAAAGATAATCTATATATACAAAAATTGCCTACATTTTAATTCAATTCAGATTGAACACCTTTCAATTAAATGAGTTGGTCCAATAACATTTCTATTACCATTATCATGGTTATTCTAGAAAGCAAAGTTCTAGATTCTCAAGATGAAACATTCAATCTATAATCTCTCTCTCTCTCTCCATTATTACAGTTAGGCGAGCCAATGGAGCATTCTCAACTCATGAAATCAGGGACTAGTCAGCCAGGGAATTTTCTGGCTTTTTAGAATAACTCGCCACGTACACTGAGCCATCCTCATAAAATTTGGTTTGACTTGTAGCTGCTATTGAGTATTTTTTACCCCCAAATCCTCTGGTATATAAAAATGGCTTGGAAAAGAGGCAGTGACTTGGTGGTAGCATGTGAAGAAGTTAAGAACATAGTTTTTTTTGTTGCTCTGAAATACTTCTTCCGTTTTTCCAATGTAATGTAAATGGATAGAGTTGAATGAACTACTAAAGACATTGCTCATCCCAGGGCCCAAGCCACTGTTTACAAGTTGCTCTATCCTTGTCAATAAATAACACTGACATAGACTGTGGTGAAACTCATGTAATAATTATTCTAACTCCTAAGGTTTGCAGTGGAAAATGTAAACTTGTTTTGAGGATATCGATTCCTCTGGCAAATGTAATCCCTAAACTTGCTCTTAATGCTATCTGGAAATGTCCCCTATTCTAATGCCAATAAAACAAAGCCTATACTACTCTTCAGATGGTGGTTAAACAGTTCCAGGGTTACTTTCCAATAAAACAACACTATTATCTTCTTCATTACGCCGGCCATTAAATACAGCCTTTAAACTAACATTTGGACAATGATCCCTTCCATCACTATACTGCCATGATCACATGATAAAGGAAGAATGTAAGCGTCAATCCTAAAGTAGGAAGCTCTTTTTGGTTATTTCAATTTTCATAAAGCAGAGAGAACGGTTTTGAGAAAATGGGTAAAACAACAGCAAAATGTTTCTGCAGCAAAAAAAAGTTTTAAACATATGCAGTCTGAGGACACAGAATGCCTTCAATTACTTACCAAGTGATCCCAAAACAACAAGAATGGTTAAGATCCAAACAAGTACCCTTGAAATGTATCTGATTATCACCATCAAAATCATGGAAAGCACTGCAGAGAAACAAAATAGAATAAGCAGGTTAATTATTCAAAGGACAAATAGCCAAGAATAATGGCTGCAGTAATATAAATTAATATTAGTGATGTTTCTGCATTCATTATTAACTCTTCTGTACAACAATGTGCAGGTTAAACTACTCTATTTAGCTTCCCATCTGTAAATTAAATAAAACAAGCCTGTATGCAGATTAAGCACCAATGTTTATATACACACACCTACATACATGTATAAAGAGATGCAGGCACACACAACAAAAGATTAAATGACATGATAGAACAGCACATTTATTATCATGAGTTGAAGAAGCATCATACAACTCATGGTGAGCAAAACCCAAAAAGTTGCATGCAGACACACATGCTTAACATTATCATGTCAAGGATGAATAACGATGTAAACATTGTGAGAAGAACCACATCATATTTTATGCTTCAATATCAGGGTAATTCATTTAACTAACTCTTACATATCTAGTGCTTTGTTTGGAATGTGAAAATCTAATCTGTGTATGGTACTTTGTTTCATACTGAAACATATATAAAATACCAACAACAGATAGGATGGCTTAGAAGAGTATGAAAAGCTGCAACTGCTTCTGGACTGCACGTATCATTTGGAGGAATACTACTTTTAATGTAATTAACAGTAGAAGTAATGAGTTGTAAAATTATAATTGAATGTAATATAAATTGTATATTTATATTATATAACGTAAGTACATAAACATAAATTGCAGTATACTGAACATGTAATATTCAGCAAGTATCAGCAAACAAAGAAATCCATTGGCGAACTGTTCCCTGAATGTGATCTTTAATGTACTTAAGCGAATACTGATACTGTGGAGAACATTAAGTTATACACTTTTGGTCATTTACTAACTTTAGCTGAGATTATCATCAAGTTTGAGGATATTCATTTCCCATTGACTGTGGCATAAATATCTAGAGAGGTAAAGGCTTTCAAGTAATAATAATAATAAAAAAATTCAATCCACTGTGTTGTGAAACAAATCTAATTATCACACTGCTACATGTTTTGTCATTAACCCAAAATGAATGGCTTTAGAGAGCTATGGCTTCTCCGTCATTGTAATTATCCCTAAATCTTATTATCATCTGTGATATATATATATATATATATA